TATTTTGTGGGTCTGCTGACTCACCCCTTTTTTCTTTTTTCTTTTGGGTATCTCGCTGCGGCTTGTTTCCGTTTGTGCTGTGCTCACCGTCGCTTTGTGTTGCCGTGTCCCGTTGAGTGTCGCTCTGCTGGCTGTGCTGCTGACATGCCTCCATTTCTCTTTCTTCCCTGCTAGAGGCACCGATGGTCCGCGACGACGATTGTTTGTGCTCCCCATTGCGATGGCACGAGGGTGACTGGGCGCCCTGCCCCGGCCTGCTGGGTGCACTCGGAGGGGAGCGGATGGTGTGCGCCGTGCCTCACTGTGGGTGTGGAACACTAATCCGCCACAACCTGCTGTGAGGCGCCATGCCAATTTGTAAGGGCAGAGGGAAGTGAAGGACTGTGCTCTGTTCTTGGATGCGCTCCGTCCCTTTTTCCCTGCGGTTGTGTGTGTGCGGTGCGCATGGATCTTTCTTGCAGTGCGACGTGGATGGCGTTGCTGCTGCGTGTGCATTTGTGCATGTGTTGTGCGGCGGACTTCTCTTTCTCTCCCATGGCACCGCCCTTGTGTGTGGGCGATTGGAGGGAGCGGGGAGGTGCGAGGAACTGAGCGTGGGTGGCTGCCAACTGCGCCCCGCGCATTGGGGTCTTCCACACACACGTGGCTCCTCTCGGCAGCCTCTTGCAGCACCAGGCCGTGGATTGAGAGGATGGGAGTGTCTGCTCCAACCACAAGGACAACGAGATGCAGTGCATGACGGTGAGGCTGATCCGCGTGTGGTTGTAGCGCATGGGACACGTGCGCGAGTACGCGTTGAGCGTTGCGCTCATGGTTGGGGAAGAGTGGCGGCACGACGTTGTGGCGCTGTGTGTGTTGTGCGTGGCGGTGGCATGGCAGCGATTGTGAGGGACGTGGCGGACACGGAGCTGCTGGACTGAGGGAGGAGGTGGCGTACGTTGCGGCGCAGCGGGAGCGCATGACGGCTGCGTGCGGTGGGAGGGCCCGACGATCCCGAGGCCTGTGCTGGAGGGGCGCGTGCTGGAGTGAGCGTGGCGTGCCTGTGAGGGCCTGAGGAGAGGGAATAACGGTTGTAGTGACTGTGGGGTGTGAGGAACGGTGCACGGCGAGGATTAATTCTTTGGTTGTTGTTTTTTGATTGTTGTTGAACCGCGCCCACCCAGTTGTTGTTGTGGTGCGTGATTCTCATTGCTGGATGGGACGGTGCGTGGCTGTGTGACTTGTCTCTCTTTGCTTCCACTCTGCGTTGACGTGTTGTTAGTTTGTGCTGAAGGCTCTACGCAGGTGACAGCAGTGATGATGATGATGACTGGCCGTGTGCTGCTGTTGTGTGCCCTCTGCGTGCTGTGGTGCGGTGTCTGCGGTGGTGGACGAGCTGAAACAACTCCTCCAGATTCTCCGGATAATACGTCCCACGGGAACACTCAAAATGAAGGAGAGACCACACGTGTCGCTGGAGGAGGTGAACAAAGTGGTCAACCAGAAGCGCAACAAGCAGCAGCACCAGCGACATCAGGATTACCGGCAGCGCCACCGAACTCATTACAGACAACACAATCCGGAGGAGAAGCATCAGAAAAGCCAAGTGAAACGAAAGAAAAAAAGGATCAAAATAAAGAAGATAAAAAGAAGGAAGAGGAAGTGGTAGAAGAAGAAGAGGAAGAAGACGAAGAGGAGAGAAAAAAGGAAGAAGAGGAGACAAAGAAAGAAGAACCTGTTACCGGCACCACAGAGGGGATCTCAGCAGGCAGTGAAGAGCAGCCAAGTTTATCTTCTGGTGCGGAGGGATCATCGAATAAAACAAATCCCAACAGCACACCAACAACTGGAGACGATGATCCAGCAGCTGATGGTGCAGGGGTAGCAGAAGGAAAACAAAATGAAAATAAAGAACCCAATCCGAAAGAAACACCAGTGACGGCCACAGCCATGAAAACTACAACGGCGACGACTGGCGACAGTGACGGCAGCACCGCGGTCTCCCACACCACCTCCCCTCTTTTGTTTCTTCTTCTTGTTGCGTTTGCGGCTACTACTACTGCGGTGGTGGCCGCGTGAGAGTGAGGGAGAGAGAGCCGTGCACCGCCCGCACACACACTCGTCTTTCACTCACTCTCTGTGTGTGTGTCCCCTTGCATGGACTCTCGCCCTCACCTCACCCCACGAAGCACACACATAATGTGCCCATTGTATATATGCATGCACACCCATGCATGCCCGTTGGTGCTCTCTTTTGCACCACACGCACCGCTGCCGTCCTGCCTGGCTGCATGGGCGGATCACCGTAACTGTTTCTGTTTTGTTTCCATTGCATTGAGTGGGCGACCTCTCTCTTTCTCTCCCTGTGTGTGTGTGTCTTGCTTTACGGGAGCAATGAGAGTGTGTGCGCTGGTCTTCCCACGCTTTGGCTTTTTTTCCTTTTTTTATTGTTTTACTTGTGTTTTGTTTGAGTACACCCATTCCGCGGGCTGCATGTGTGTGTGTGTGTGTGTGTGTGTCTGTGTGTGTGTGTTTGTGTGTGTGTGTGTGTTATGATATGAGTAATTTGCGTGTCTGCTCTCCGCTTCTCTCTCTGCCGTTGCTTTCTTTGGACTCTCTTTTGCCGCACAGCTGCTCTGCAATTATAGGCGCTGCCAAACACACAATCACAAGCAAATGCACACACACGCCATGTTGCACACAGGTGAGCAGCCCCTGCACTGCTAGAGGAGCTTTCGGCGCACTTTGGAATGTCGCAGCGGGCACCATTGGACTCGGTGTGTTGGCGCCTGTGGCTGCCGTTGTCGACGTTCCGATCCGCTCTGTTGGAAGTGCCGGCGTGGTCGTGGGGTGGCGGGAGAGCAGCGGCGGACACGGTGACCTCTACGCAGTGAGTTCACAGTAACTTCCTCGGCCAGTGGCAGTGCGGATGGAACTGTCATAATGATCGCACCGCCGGCACGCTTGTTGTCGAGTTCCCCGAAAGGAGAGCAGCGAAAGAAGGTCTGTCCGCATGACTCTTTGCATCTCCGCCTCAGGGCTGCGCATCACAATTGAGGTTGCCGTGCGGTTATGCAACAGGGTATGATCTGCTGGGAGAGCGCGCTGTGCGATGCTCCCGCACCTGGGGCTGGTGCTGTGCCGTTGGCGGATGTTGAGTGGCCGATCATACAGATATTGCGACACCACAAGGAGAAAGGACCAAACACTCCGCGTGGAGGGAGGGCTGCGTCTGGTGATGACTCCGTGCGACGGTGATGGACGTTCTCTCGACGACGGATTGACGGTTCGTCTATTTGGTGGAGTCGGTGCGCATGCTGTGTGTATGGCCGCCTCTGTGGTCTCCTGTTACTCCGCTGCGTGGGCCGCATTCTGACGCATTACTGGTCCAAAGCCATTTTGTTTTTCCTACTCTTCTTTTTCCTTTGTTTCTCTCCTCCCGCATCCAGGCTGCGCCACTGCTGCTGCTGCTACTCACACGAAATCAAGAAATGCATTTTACTCAAGTCATGCGCCAGCCACGCCACGCCACACCGCTTTTCCCACTGGTGGTGTTGCTGCTGATGTGCTGCGCCAGTGGGTGTATTGCTGCTGCACCCGCCACACAGTACCGCTGTGGATTTGACGTGATGATGAGGAGGAACGGCCCGCTGTCGACTGCGGTGGTGCGTGAGGTGCCGCGCAAGGGACAGGGCGCCATGCAGGCGTACACCGTCGCCGCAAAGGATGACGACAGTGGCCGGGAGCCGATCCGCATGGCGGTTCCCATGGAAGATCTGGAGAGAGGCACGAACAAGAAGAATTACTGCGAAGAGGGAGAGGATGAGTGCTACAACGCCTTGGGGCAAAAGGTGTCATGCAAAGCAGAGCATTTCCTGACGGAGGCAAAGAAACAATTGCACAATTGAAGGATTCTCTTCGGTGCCGTCAAACTGCACACTGAGCGACTACTTGTGAAACCCACTGGTGGGACGATAACTGTACCGAGGGCTATGAATGGACCGGGCAGCCATTTTAAGGTTCCTACCAGGCACAAGAGTGACGGTGTGTCGAATGCAGATTTTATCAGCTACGCTGCTGCTAGGCCATCAGGCACGGATAGCAGGGCTGTGTGGGCGGCCACGTGTAACACACTGAGTGATCTTCGTCCTTCCATTGGCGCCATGAAATTTGATCCGAAGTGCATGACTGACACGGCGTGGAGCGTTCGCGTTGCCGCACACGAAATTGCGCATGCGCTTGGGCTCAGCCAGGAGAGTATGGAAGACAATAGTCTGGTGAAGAAGCAAGAGAGAAGTGTGCGAGGGAAGCACCGCAGGATGGTGGCAGGGAAGCACGTTCAGGAGAAGGCGAAAGCGCACTTTGGTTGTGACTCTCGAGGGCATGGTGCTGGAGGACGAAGGTGGCACTCGGGAAAAAGCGATCCCTCACTGGAAGGGACGCCACGCGCGGGACGAGCTGATGGCACCCACAGTCGGTGCCGGCTACTACACGGCTCTGACGATGGCGGTGTTCGCGGATATGGGATACTACCGCGTGAATTGGAGCATGGCGGAGCCGATGAGCTGGGGCCACCGCAGTGTCTGCGACTTCCTGGAGAAGAAGTGCAATACAGCCGATAATCTTGCCGCCAAGTATCCTCACATGTTTTGCGATGCTAAAGACACAGAGACGCTTCGCTGCACCTCCGACCGCCGTCACGTTGGGACGTGCACCGCAAGCATCGTTGAAGACAAGGAGAGTCTGCTGGATAAGGACGTTTGCCCCGTTGTTTCTTTGGAATTTCACGAAATATCGTCTGGGACAACGTACAGGACGTGCTCGGACGAAAATGTGGATTATCTCCGTGGGTCGCTGACTGGCGGTGGCTCGTGGTGCCTGGACGCGGAATTACTGGAGACGAAGGACGGTAATGGCCATAAAAGCGTCAAGGGAGTGTGCGCGCAGGTGTTGTTTGATGGGGGCACAGTGAAGGTGAAGTACCTCGGCAACACTGACGTGTGGCATGATTGCCCGATGGCGGAGAAATCCAAGTGACGTTGGATGGTTTTCAGAAAGAAGGAAAGATCAATTGCCCGAGGTACGGCGAGGTGTGCACCATTGCCGCCAACGGCAGCAGTCTTGTCATTCCGAGGCGTTGGTGGGTGGACAGGGTGACGAGCAAGAGGAGGAAGCAGAAGAGTCTGCGGTTGCTTCAGGGTCGCCTTCTCCGGAGAATACTCGTCCACAGTTGTCTCCTGTGGCGTCTGGTGCCTCCATTGAAAAGGAGCCTCCCGGTGCTTCGGCTGCGGGTGTCGTTGGTGGTGGCCTTCATGCCGGTCCGAGGGGTGAACCGGGGGTGCGGACCGAAAGTGGGGACAACACTCAGCGGCGAGGGAGGAGACCTGGCAGTGGAAGCGAGGGAGCCAACAGAGCCTCCGGCCACGACGCTTTTTTCGCGCCATCACCCGGCGAGGACGTTGCACGAGCGGAGGGCGACCCGCGGGCGGATTGCCCAGCGGTGATTCCCAGTGCCTCCGCGCCTGCCACTCCGATTCCGTCCGTCAACAGCGACGATTTTCAGGCGATACCCGATGCGTTGGTACAGCAGGCCGACAGTGATGGCGGTGTGGCTGCTGCTACTGCTGGCCTCATTCCCTTTGTGCTTCTTGTTGTGGTCGCTGCGGCGGTAGTGGTGGTGCCTCTTTGAGCAGCCGCGGCGGCTGGGCGCAATGAAACTGTGGCAGGGCGAGAGTATTTACTTGGCACATTGACCCCGCACTCAAGATGCGCAAAACCGTAGCAATAACACTATGATACACTCACCGCATTCCCCGTTTCCTTCTTTGCTTGCGGGTGATGGGCAAAATGACCGGTCTTTTATTGCCTTGTTTGTTATTCTGGGAAAAGGTGTTTTTGTTTTATTGCTAGGAGGGTTTAGCTTCCGTGAAAACTGTGTGTGAACGAATTAACATGGAGAGAAAAGACATTTCCCAGCACCACATGTATACACTCCTTTTTTGATGCGATTGGGACGAGGGGAAACCACCGTGCTCTAATCATGAGTAAAAAGTAAAGGAAATGTTCTCCAATGGAGGCGGGGTCGTGCCAGTAGCTGTTTCTCTGAAGGACAGGAACGGCTGCCTCTGCCTCCGTAATTGGTGCATGCGGCTTTATCTTTTACACTTTTGCTTGTTTTTGTGACTTTGCTTTTTTTTTTTTTTTTTTTTGTGTGTGTGTGCGTCATTGCGAGAATGTGGACCTCAAATAATTTCTGTGCTTCGGCTTTTAATCTGCATGCGCCCTTTTTCTTTTGCATTCCCGATTTTTGCATCCGTTTTTGATTGGCTGTGTGTGTTTCGGGTGCTCTGCTGCACTGTGGGTGGTGTGTCTTAATTCCTTCTGTCCCTGCTGTTCTGATTGTGAAAACACGCTGTGGGTCATGGTGCATGGCTCCGTCGTTGCGGCACTATTTGTTGTAGTTGCATTGGGGCAGCCCCGACAAGAGTGCCAACGTGTGGATTCCGGGTGTCTCGTTGGGCTCTTTTCCGTCTCCTGCGCGATGGACTCCCATCTTCGGCGCACCCTTTCGTGCAGTGGCGTCAGCGCAACAAGGTGGCAGATTTGTTGTTGTTGCTGCTCCAGCTGTTTTGTGTTTCCCTCTGGTATTGTGAGGTGCAGGTGCCGGATGTGGCGGCAATGAGCCGAAGATAAGGAGAAGGATGGTGCGTGCGTGCGTGAGGGCCCTGCGGTGTTGGAGCGGTGCGCACCGTTTGCGGGCTTGATGCGTCCCTTTGGTGCATGGCGTGTCTTGGCGTGTCCTTCTTGCCGTCTGTGGTGCCAGCCGGCTCTTCACGATTGTGGCAATGGCGTGTTGACAACGGTGTTTGGGTTGGCGTTGGATGTTCCACCCTCTGGGGCTACGAGGACGTATGCGTCACGTTGAGCGACACCAATCGCGCACGACGCCTGGTCTGCAAGCGAGTGACGCACCGATTACCGACGCGGCGCGGCCCTCTTGCCTTTTTCGTCCCTCTGGTAACCTACAGTCTGATGTCTAGCCGTAGTGGTCTCCTCTTTTCTCACTCCTTTTGTGTGCCGCTCCTGTTTGCTTCTCCCTCTTCCATCTGTGTGTTGGTGCTGCGGCAGGGCTGTGTGTGCGTGTGCCTGCTGCCGTGGGTTAGAGTGTGTGTCGTGCGTGGTGTGCGGCGTACGGTGCATGCCTGGCTGCTGCCCTCTCCTCATGTGGTGTGCCCTCTGTGTGTGTCTGCCGCACCTCTCGTCTCCCCTGTTGCTCTCCATTTCTCTCACTGTGCAGATCAGCTCCACACCACTGAACGACCACACTCACGATGATGATGACGTGCCGTCTGCTGTGCGTCCTGTTGGTGCTCGCCCTGTGTTGCTGCCCGTCCGTGTGTGTAGCAGCGGATGGTGAAAAAGATGTTAATATTTCCGGTCAACCGCCGGTTCAGCCAGGGGTGCAAACTCCGAGCAGTACGCAACTGCAATCAGATGCTTCCGGTGTGATGGGGTCACAAAGTAATTCCGATACAACACAGGGTCAAAATCAGGTAGCTGGTGGAAGAGGAAGTGAAAACTCTCTCCCAACCCCTCCTGCGCCAACGGGAGAAAGTGTTACGTCCGGCACGAAAGGGTCCACAGATCCGGAAGCCGGCAGGACACAGGAACAAGATGCAATGACCGGAGCCGGAGTGTTACAAACACAGCCCGAAGACGCAGAGTCACCGGATTCGAGGACCGTTACAGCGCCAAGTACAGCCACTACGGGAATGTCACCAACTCCTCCAAACGAACTGGAAAATAATTCAGCAAAAAGGATCACTGCGCCAGCTACGACCACCACGACCACCACTGCGCCAGAGGCACCAAGTACTACGACTACAGAGGCGCCAACTACGACGACCACCCGCACACCGTCACGTCTTCGCGAAACCGACGGCAGCCTCAGCAGCTCTGCGTGGGTGTGTGCCCCACTGCTGCTCGCCGTATCCGCGCTGGCGTACACCACTTTGGGCTGAAGAGGTGTATGCGGGCTGTGCGTGCCAGCACTCAGCCGCGGGGATTTGTGCGCATCCACTGTGGTCCGATGTATAAAGTAAGAGTAATTATGATGATTGTTTTTTCCTTTGCTTGCTTCCGCTGCCCTGGTGTGTGCTGGTGCATGCACACTGAAGCCATTTGGGTGCATTTTTTTTTTGTGTGTGTTTTACTGTTTTTCTTGTTGCTGATTTTTTTCTTTTATTTTTCCTTGTTTTGCGTGTTTTTCTTGTTAAATTATTACAGAGAGTTGTGCGTTTTCTGACTTTCATTGGTTTAATATTTCTCATGAAATGCGTGCTGCTGCTGCTGATGTTTTTTACTGTGCCGTGTCTTTCTTTTTCTTTTCACTCTGCGTTGACGTGTTATTAGTTTGTGCTGAAGGCTGCACGCAAGTGACAGGAGTGATGGCGATGATGATGACTGGCCGTGTGCTGCTGGTGTGTGCCCTCTGCGTGCTGTGGTGCGGTGTCTGCGGTGGTGGATGTGACGGGGGAGAAACGGCAGTTCCTCGGAGTGGTGCTGGTGGACCTCCGCCGGGATCAGCAGAACTTGGAACGCCTCTACAAGACACCCAAGAATTAAACGTTGAATCACCAGATATTAATGGAAAAGTGCCATCCCAATCTTCCCCACGTATAGAGAAAGCTGATGATGAAGACAGTGATGATGAAGATAGAGAAGGAAAGGATAAAAAAGACGAAAAGGAAAAAAATAAGGTACAACCCGAGAAAGACGAGGGTAAAAAAAAAGAGGGACCACCTCCACCACCGCCACCACCACCGCCACCCGCACCGCCGCCACCACCGGGTGGACCTGCACCATCATCAACAGCAGTTGAAGGAGGCCCAACAGCAGAAAAAGAAAATTTACAGAAAGTAACCAAAAAGGACTCAGAAGCACCGGAAGCGCCTTCAGGGGATGCTACACAAGGGCAGCACAGTCATGACACAGACACAGAGGATTCGACGAAGAATGCAGCAACCGGCAGTCCAGCAGAACCAACAACAACCTTATCTACCTCTGCAAGTGGCAGCGGTGATCATGTCCAGAATAAGGCAGATGAGGATGATGCTCAAAGCTCTGAAGAACAACACGACAGCGTTGAAACTGGCAATGCCAACGATGTTCCAACTCTCAGTGAGGAAGCACCACAAACAGCAGAAACAATCACCGCCGCTCGAATAAATGTTACGACGACGCCTGGCGACAGTGACGGCAGCACCGCTGTCTCCCACACCACTTCCCCTCTTTTGCTTCTTCTTGTTGTTGCGTGTGCGGCTGCTGCTGCTGTGATGGCTGCGTGAGAGTGAGGGAGAGAGCCGTGCACCGCCCGCACACACACTCGTCCTTCACTCACTCTCTGTGTGTGTGTCCCCTTGCATGGACTCTCGCCCTCACCTCACCCCACGAAGCACACACATAATGTGCCCATTGTATATATGCATGCACACCCATGCAGGCTCGTTGGTGCTCTCTTTTGCATCACACGCACCGCTGCCGTCCTGCCTGGCTGCATGGGCGGAGCACCGTAACTGTTTCTTTTTTGTTTCCATTGCATTGAGTGGGCGATCTCTCTCTTTCTCTCCCTGTGTGTGTGTTTTGCTTTACGGGAGCAATGAGTGTGTGTGCTGGTCGTCCCACGCTTTTTGTTTTTGTTTTTTTCGTTGTTTTACTTGTGTTTTGTTTGAGTGCACCCATTCCGCTGGCTGCGTGTGTGTGTGATGATATGGGTAATTTGCGTGTGTGCTATCCTCCTGTTCTTTGTTTCTCCTCATGCATTCAGTCCTTGTTGCTTCAGCAAGCCACGAAATATTTGTCTAACACCCACTTCAATGGCTTACTTGCTCTACACCCCAAAGTAGTTTGAGACGCTGGTGCTGCTGCATGTGATGATGTTTGTGGTGTGATTGCCAGCGGGTGCTTTGTTATCACTTTGACGTGCCCTCGATTTGTTGAATATGTTATGCGTGCCGACAGCACGAATTGGATCTGCGTCGTCGTGAGGGACGTGCCCTTTTGGAGCATTGGGTGAGCTGCCGACGTACACCGTCATTGGGAGGGATGGATGGGCGCCCACCCGCATCAAAGTATCCGTGAGGGACCTGGATGATACCAGGAAGTATTGCATCTCAGAGCGGTACTAAGCAATGAATTCACCGAATGACAATTGCGAGTGTGAAGGTGACTTTGTATCCTCTGCGCACGGGATCATTCTCGAGAATGAAGTTGTCACTGCTGCTTTCAAACTGCATGCGGATCGTGTGCTCGTGCAGCCACTGGAGGGTCCTTTGATTGTGCCCCCATTTGCCACGGGCAGCGTTTGCATTCGGTTCACGGTGCGTGCTGGGCATCGTTCCACTGGTGTTGCCAATGCTGACATGGTGCTGTGCGTGGCTGCGGCGCTGTCGGTGGTGGTGCACTCGACGACTGCCGCGATGCCTGCGAGGGAGCACCACGACTGCGACGACATTGATGGCATCGAGCTGCAGGATGGCGATGGGGACGGGAGGACGCTGGAGTCGCACCGGTTGCAGCGCCACGCGAAGGAGGAGTGGATGGCAGCGATTGGGAGTGCCGGCTGCTGCACGGAGCTGACGCTGGCCGCACCGGCTGACCTGGGCTGCATGAGGGTGAAGTGGGATATGGCGGAGCCGATGCGTTGGTGGAGGAATTCGAACTGTGCGCTGCTGCAGAGGAAGTGCTCCGCACTGCAAATGAGTGAATATCCCCAGATGTTCTGAAAAGCGGGAGTTACTGCCAGACGCTGCACTTCGGATTGGTATTGAAGTGGTTGGTGTGTAGACGGAGTATCCATGAGATGTCAGCAAAAAGCCCGATGGACAGTTGCCCCATCAGTGGTCCCGCACTGAATCCGAGGGATGCTGCCGCTGTTATTTGGAGGGTAGAATATTTGTCTGCGGTGCCTGGGGACAAGTTCTCTTCGTGGTGTCTGGACACGCTTCCCACCAACACGACAGATGCGAGGGACCCGGAAGAAACATACATCTCGGTGCTGTCATGCATGCGGCATTGCGGTGCCTCGGCATGCGGGTGCGTCTGAGAGTGACTGAAGAGGGTAACGCCCGTTGTGCCCCATGCACGGACGGGGCGACGATTACGTGGGTTGCTGCACCCTACGATGAGGGAAACGTTATTTTCCGTGACCACGCGCAGGTGTGCACGATATCCGCCACCGGCGGCAGCTTGCTTCCAGTGGTTCCGTGGGGTGGCGATGTGAGAGAGGGTGTGGGACAGGACGGTCCCACCGGCATATACTGAACAAGTTTTGCTACTGGCATCCGTCCCCGTTGCGGAGAGCATTGATACCGGCTGCGGCACCTCACCGAAGGATGTGGGCACGGCTGCTCCCCAGAAGCATCCGTCACCAGAGGAGAAGGAAGTCACCCCCGATGAAACGACGGCAACGGTGTGCTCTTGCCCAGCGACACCGCGGGTGCGCCGCAGGAGGCGGAGAAGAAGAGCGATCTTCCGGACAGCGACGATGTGGCCGCCGATGGCGTGACGTCTGTTGTCAGACAATCAGTATGAGTTGAGGCCGCCAGCGACAAGGCCGGTGGCGGCGCCGCAGCCACGGGACCCAAGGGCCCTGATGCCGCTTATGCCGCGCAGGGGGCCGTGGACCCTCCGCCGAGGGAGGATGAAGCGGCGGTGGGGTGCCAACACTCAGCAGCGGGTGCAAGAGAGAAAGGCCCATATCAATTGGCATGTTCCTATCAGTATATATATATACGCTCTGCTTGTCTGTATACTTTGTACCAAGGACATGCTGTATGCACTTTTCCTTTTTTGAGTTGGTCGCTAATGTGTCGGCACCGCGCGTGTTTTTAATGGGTTTGGGAACAACAATTTGTTTGACTACTTCTGAAGGATACTGTGGGGTGTTTGTGTGCGTGTGCGAGGGATCCGTGTGGTTTTGACTTTTTTATTTTTATTTATCTGCTTTGGCATTGTGTCGTGATCCTTCGCTTCTCCCATTATGTGTGTTTTGGAGTGTGTGGAATAGCAAAACATCGATGCGTGGCGTGTTGCTGTCCTGTGGTGTGCTAGGAGGTGCGGTGGCATTGTGTGGTGCTCGTTGTATTACACCTGTTGCGTTTGTTTCTGAAGTGTTGCTAGGGCACCGGGAGTGGATGCCTGTGGACGCACACCGTGGATTATGCGCTACATTGGTGGGAGGGCAGACTGACATAACTGGCGGGATTCAGTAAGGCGCTTTTCTGCCCACGGACCCTGCAGCTGCAGCAGCCTGAGTGGCGCTTTGCATATTGGCGTGTGGATTGTTTTTCTCTTGCGAGGCTTTTTTACTGCCTTTTATTTTCCGCTTGGGTACCGTTCCCGTGGCAGCAGCGGCGGCATCAAAAGGGCTGTGTGTGTGGAGAGTCCTTGATTGAGTGCCTGTCTTACTTCTCTGTTCCGTCGATCGATTGTACCGTTTGCCGGCCAAACGGTTGACATGACGTTCTTCTGACGGCGGGTTCCACGTGAGATGGTTTTGCGTCGCGTGCTTTGTTGTGGGTGTGTGGTTTCAGCAATGGTTTTTGGGCGGTTGACTGTTGGGTCGTTGGGGGCGGCGTGGCTGTTTGTGCGGTGGAGCCGCGGGAAGGAGGAAGGCGGCGGAGCGATGGACTCACGAGGAGTTCGGTGGCGTGCAGCCATTAAGATTGGCGACAGGGAACTCACTGCCGCTGTGAGTTGCCGTGTGTGGTGTTTGTTTCTGTTATTATTACTTGCGTTGTTGGATGTGGCCGCCGTGGGGGAAGACTGTTTTTTTGTTTTTTTTTCACGCCGGTTTGGGATCCTTTTCTGCACCGGCATCACTGTGTTCCTGCCGTACTGTTGCGCCATCTTTCCCGTCCATTTTTGGGGCAGCTGCGGGTGGGTTTTACATGCCGTGGAGTTGTTTGCCGTGCTGTCCGGTGTTTCATTGTTGCCTGTTCTTCCTGCGTGCACGCGTCTCCCATGCTCATGGCAACAACCCTCATGCAAACGCCACTCCTCCTTTTCCATGCTGCTGATGTGTGTGTGTGTGTTCTTCTCATCCTCCTTTCTTTGCCCCTCTCCAGACTGTGTGTGCAGCCGTGATGATGATGACTGGCCGTGTGCTGCTGGTGTGTGCCCTCTGCGTGCTGTGGTGCGGTGTCTGCGGTGGTGGACGAGCTGAAACAACTCCAGCAGCTTCTCCGGGTAATACGTCCGACGGGAACACTCAAAACGATTCCACAGGTGTCGCTGGAGGAGGTGTCCAAAACGGTCAACAGGCAGCGCAACAAGCAGCAGCACCAACGACGTCAGAATTACCGGGTACGCCACCGAGCCCATCACTGGCACCACAATCCGGAGGAAAAGCATCAGAAAAGGCAAGTGAAACGATTGAAAAAAAGGATCAAAATACAGAAGAAAAAAAGAAGCAAGAAAAAAAGGAGGAAGAAGAAGAGAAAGAGGAAAAAGAAGAAGAAGAACCTGTTACCGGCACCACGGAGGGGATCTCAGCAGGCGGTCAAGAGCAGCCAAGTTTATCTTCTGGTGCGGAGGGAGCATCGAATATAACAAATCCCAACAGCACACCAACAACTGGAGACGATGATCCAGCAGCTGATGTTGCAGGGACAGCAGAGGGAAAACAAAATGAGAATAAAGAATCCAATCCGAAAGAAACACCAGTCGAATCCACAGCCATGAAAACTACAACGGCGACGACTGGCGACAGTGACGGCAGCACCGCGATCTCCCACACCACCTCCCCTCTTTTGCTTCTTCTTCTTGTTGCTTGTGCGGCTGCGGCTGCGGTGGTGGCCGCGTGAGAGTGAGGGAGAGAGAGCCATGCACCGCCCGCACACACACTCGTCTTTCACTCACTCTCTGTGTGTCCCCTTGCATGGACTCTCGCCCTCACCTCATCCCACGAGGCACACACATAATGTGCCCATTGTATATATGCATGCACACCCATGCAGGCCCGTTGGTGCTCTCTTTTGCACGACACGCACCGCTGCTGTCCTGCCTGGCTGCATGGGCGGAGCACCGTAACTGTTTTTTTATTTTATTGCTTTTAGTGGGCGATCTCTCTCTCTCTCCCTGTGTGTGTGTTTTGCTTTACGGGAGCAATGAGAGTGTGTGCGCTGGTCGTCCCACGCTTTGGCTTTTTGTTTTGTTTTTTCCGTTGTTTTACTTGTGTTTTGTTTGAGAGCACCCATTCCGCGGGCTGCGTGTGTGTGTGATGATATGAGTAATTTGCGTGTGTGCTATCCGCTTCTCTGTTGTTGCCTTTTTTTGACTCTCTTGTGTTCCGTACATCTGCTCTGCAAGTATAGGCGCTGACAAACACAGAAACACAGGCACACGCTGTGGAGCGGCGTGAATGATGAGAACGCGCACACGCACAAGATTTTGGTTGCGGCGGCCCTTTCGAGGAGGGATGACGGAAGACTGCGACCTTATTTTTTGCCGTGCTGCGAGCGTGATTTTCTTGGCGTGCTGCCCGTGGGCGGCGCGGCATTGAGGGAGCCTGGGAGATATGCGTATGGATTCTCTCCTGGCAGCTGCACGTGCCGACGTGTTCCTCCCGCTGTTCGTACAGCGACGGAGGATTCTCCGGCTGTGCGGGGCGATGTGCGATGGAGGGTGTGGGAAGAGACAACAGCAAAACGACTGGCGATGGCGCGTTGGTGTTGCGAAGGGCAGTTGTGTACCCTTCTGCATCTCGCTGATTGTTTTGTGTGTCGGCGTAGCTCGGAGAGTGCTGACGCGTGGCAGAAGCGCCAGCCGTGGCTCCTGCTGGTGGCAACAGTCGTTGTGTGTTCTCTTTGCACAGTTTTCCCTTCTCGTTCCGTGTGTCTGTGCGCGCGAGTTGTCGTTGTTGTTGGGAGTGAATGCGGTGCGGATGATGATGCCGCTCACTGTGGATGGGTGACGGTGTGTTTCACTTCTTTTTCCTCTTTTTTCTAAACCACTCACACACAAAGGAAAGAAGTTAATACCAAGCGCTAATCGCCACTGTGGAATTCGAAGGCTCTGAAAGGACCAACAGCACACACACCGCCCACACACACATATTTATATGCTCTCACGTGTTGCTGCAGTGAAGGCACCCCGCACACACAACCGTCGCCGCGTGACCGGATCCAGCGGAAGGAGGAGGGAAGGAAGAGAGAGTGAGCGGCGGATGCCCAACATGTCCCGGCATCTCTTCTACTCTGCGGTGCCCCTTTTTCTTCTTCTTGCGATGTTGTGCTGCAACAGTGTTGGGGCTGTGGCTGCTGAAGGATCAGAGTGACGTCAGGGCTCTTCATCGGGGAAATGTTTCGTTTGGAGAGATGTGAAAGATGGAGAGAAAAAAGTGAGTCCCCTCCATGCTCCCAGTCTTGTTGAGATGAATGGTGAAGTGTTTGCCGTTGCCGAGACGTGGTGCGAGAAGGATAGCGTCATTTTTCCTTGCATTGTTTCACAATTCATGAAGTTGGACGACAAAAACCCAAAAGCCCTGGAAGCAGCTGAGGTGAAGAAGGAGGTGCTGGAGGAATGTCCAACCGATGGATGGAATTGCGCCTCCAAAACAGAGGATAAGGATGATTCCCAAGGCGGGACGAGAGTACATGTGAGCCGTCCAACAACAGTTGTGAAGGGAAATGATATTTGCATGCTTGCTGGAGTCTACATGAGTAAAGGTCTCCCTAATTGCCAGGTAGGTGTGGCTGGCGTGGCTCAGTGGGGACTTTTGCTGGTGAGAGGGAACGTCAGTGGTGTGGATGAAAGTACCAAAAGAATTTATTGGAATGATACCATCAGTATTTTGTGCAATGTTATCGGTGAAAACGATGACACTTTGACAGGACGCATTGGCGGTGGTGGATCGGGTGTTAAGATGGAGGACGGTACGCTTGTGTTCGCAATGGAGGCCGTGAAGGAGAATAAGGTCAATGGCACTGCGGAGGGTGGAAGGAATAACAATGTTTCGCTGCTCGTATACTCCTCGGATGCTGCAAATTGGACGCTGTCGAAGGGGATGTCTGACGATGGCTGCAGTGATCCCTCCGTCGTGGAGTGGAAGGACAAAAAACTCATGATGATGACTGCGTGTGCTGATGGCCGCCGCAGGGTGTACGAGATCGGTGACAAGGGGAAGCCGTGGACGGAGGCACTCGGGACACTCTCGCGCGTGTGGGGCAACAACCGTAAGCTACATGAGAAGGGCGTTAGAAGCGGGTTCATCACAGCGACGATTGAGAACAGGGACGTGATGCTTGTTACTCTGCCGGTGTATTCCGAGAAGCTTGAGAAGGGAGGCGCTCAAAAGGGTGAACTCCATCTTTGGCTGACGGACAATACGCACATTGTTGATATTGGGCCGGTATCCGGGGAAGGGGACGATGCTGCCGCCAGCTCCCTGTTGTACAAAAGTGGTAAAAGTGGTGAAACTAATAATAATGAGGAGTTGATTGCACTGTACGAGAAGAAGGGCGATGAGGGCAAACCATCACCTGGTATGGTCTCTGTGCGTCTGAGTGAGCAGCTGAAGCGGGTGAAGGAGGTGGTGGCGACCTGGAATAAAGTGGACCAAAGCGTTTCCCAGCTGTGCCCCTCAAGTGCTGAGAAGGACCGTTCAACTGAAAATGACTGCAGCGGTGTTAAGATCACGGATGGGCTGGTTGGCTTTTTGTCCGGCAACTTCTCTGGTAACACATGGAGGGACGAGTACCTCGGGGTGAACGCCACGGTAAATAATAATGAAGGGGCTGCGAAGGCAACATTGCATGCCGGCGGAGTGACGTTCAAAGGAGCGTGGGTGGAGTGGCCTGTTGGCAGTCAGGGGGAGAATCAGCTGTACCACTTCGCGAACTACAACTTCACTCTTGTGGCGACGGTGTCCATCCACAAGGTGCCGACGAAGGAAGATATTCCCATTCCTTTGATGGGTGTGAAGATGAATGACGCAGAGAATGCAGTACTTCTGGGACTGTCGTACAACAAGGAAAAGAAGTGGAAATTGTTGCAGGGTGGCGGAAAGACCGAGGAGCTCAGCGGCACTTGGGAGACAGATGCAAAGTACCAGGTGGCGATTGTGCTACAGAACGGCAAACAGGGCTCGATCTACGTTAATGGTAAACTTGTGTGTAAGGATGCGCAATGTGAATTGAAAAATACGGATATTAATGTGGTCTCCCACTTCTGCATTGGAGGGGATGGAGACAAAACAGGGGGCAAAGAAGACGTGTCTGTGACTGTGACGAACGTCCTACTGTACAACCGCCCGTTGGATGGCAATGAGATTAATGCGCTTAACGCAAACAAAGCTTCTATTCCGAAGAATGTGGCTGCGCGTACCTCTTCACCCGTGGTGTCTCGCCCGAAGTGCTCTGCTGAACATTTGGCGGCGGGAGCAACGGGTGGCGTTGCCGCTCGTGACAGTGGGGCACATGGTGATGGCGGCACTGTGTTTGGCAACGAGGTGCTGCCATCGCTTGTTCTTCTGTTGGGACTGTGGGGGTTTGCGGCTCTGTGAGGAGTGACTGGCTGCCGCGTGAGACAATGCGACTTTCCCTGCACAGAATTACTGTCCTCCCGGAAACGAAATATTCCCCGGATAACATTTTTTTTTTGTTTGTAATTTCTAAACTCTTTTTTTTGTGCCTTTTTTTTTAATTTGAGTTTTGTGTGCTGCCACCGTGCGTGATTGTTGATGTCGGGGCCGTACCGCATGTACCGCTGCCATCCAGCTGTGCCTCTTGCTGTTTGTGAGTCCCCTTGCATGGACTCTCGCCCTCACCTCATCCCACGAGGCACACACATAATGTGCCCATTGTATATATGCATGCACACCCATGCATGCCCGTTGGTGCTCTCTTTTGCACGACACGCACCGCTGCCGTCCTGCCTGGCTGCATGGGCGGAGCACCGTAACTGTTTTTTTTTTTTTATTGCATTGAGTGGGCGACCTCTCTCTCTCTCTCCCTATTGGGCTTTACGGGAGCAATGAGAGTGTGTGCGCTGGTCGTCCCACGCTTTGGCTTTTTCCATTTTGGTTTTTTAAAATCTTTACTTGTGTTGTTGTTTTGTGGGCATATTCCTATTACCCTTTAATTTTTTGTGTGGTGACGCCTGCACATTTCTTTCTGTATTTGATTGTTTTTTCTTTGTTTTTTGATGTTGGTGCTTTGCTTTAATAATGTTTTTTCTTCTAATGGTTGATGCTGTACACCGTCACGAGTGACGTATTCCCCTTTTGTTTTCATTTGCTGCCCACACGCGGTGCCGGCCTCACTGCTGTGTCTCCCACGGAGTGCACAAAGGAGGATTGGAGGAACAGGCCACATGCCGCATGAAGTGTGAAGGGTGTTGTGCGGGCTCGTGGAACAGCAAGATCTGTTTTTTAGTTTCCATTTTTTGTGCGGGCAAAATGTATGCACACGGCTGCCATGTGCTTCTAGGCACAAGAAATAAAAGTCCTGCCTGAACAATTATTTAATTTTGTGGGTTCTGCATGAATCACCCCTTTTTTCTTTTTTCTTTTGGGTATTTCGCTGCGGCTTGTTTCCGTTTGTGCTGTGCTCACCGTTACTTTGTGTTGCCGTGTCCCGTTGAGTGTCACTCTGCTGGCTGTGCTGCTGACATGCCTCCATTTCTCTTTCTTCCCTGCTAGAGGCACCGATGGTCCGCGACGGCGATTGTTTGTGCTCCCCATTGCGATGGCACGAGGGTGACTGGGCGCCCTGCCCCGGCCTGCTGAGTGCACTCGGAGGGGAGCGGATGGTGTGCGCCGTGCCTCACTGTGAGTGTGGAACACTAATCCGCCACAACCTGCTGT